TACACACACACACACACACACACACACTCAAACCAGCACGCATTACAACATTTGTACACACTTACACACACACACACACACACACACACACACACACACACACACACATGGGGGCATGCAAAGTACACACATACACTAAAACCTGCGCACACAATGTAGTTACACACACATGCACTCTCACAAGTAGGCACACATACTCTCAGTATTGTCTTTGCAATAATAGCCAGGCTCTTCCCCATTGCACCCAGAAGACAAAAGTTCAAATCCCGAGTTGATAATGTTTTTTTCTTTCTATATAGAGTATCGCATCTCCATCTGACTGCTGAGATGGCATATTTTTCTTTTATCCCACACTTAGCTAGTGTTGGCCTATACATGTACTATACAAGCAGGGTCGAAATATCCCGCCTCCTGAAAGGAGAATTTGGGGGTTGAGGGGGGAGGGGGGGAGGGGTAAAACATTTACACATTTACGCACAGCCAGCCCCTCAGTACCACTCACTTGATAGTAGGTTGTTGGAGGGGGGCATTAGTAGATTCTTTATTTTCCCTCTGTTATTTCTGTCTGTTTGTCTGACTTTTTCCAAGCGCTAAAAGACCATTATTGTGCCGTTGTGCTTCACTTTACTAAAAAAAAAAAAAACTCACCTGATAGAGAGATGCTAGGTGATTGGCTGTGACGACCAGGAAACTGTTGTTGACCCCTGGGTGGTCTAGGTCGTGTGTCAGGGACGCTACCAGCGCCACCATCTTCTCAAAGTCAGTCGTGGATGCCCGCACCTGGACAGATGACACGACGTGGTGTGTGGCGTGAACACAAGGTGTTAATAAAGAGTGTGTATGTGTATGTGTGTGCGTTTGAGTGTGTGTGTATGTGTGTGTGTGCGTGTGTGTGTTTGAGAGTGTGCATAATTATGTCCCTGTTCTGTGATGATGAGATTGGTGACAGTAATTATGTGAGTATGTGTATGTATTTGTGGGTGTGAATACGTGTCTTGGCCATCTACCTACTATGACCCATTTCTGGCGACAACCAACTCCTTACAGATGACTCCTCATCCCAAAAGTGGTGATCCCCAACCTATGAACCCTTGACAGGTGACCCCTAACCCAATGACTTGTGATTCCTGACCTTAACACTTGATAGATGACCCTTAGTCCTATGACTAGTAATTCCCGACCAATAATATAACCCCAGACAGGAGAACTCTAAATCGTGATTCCTGACCCATGACCCTTAACCCAGTGACTAGTGTTTCCTGACTCATGACTTTTAACCCTGTGACTAGTGATTCCTAACCCATGACCTCTAACCCTGTGACTAGTGATTCTTAATCCATGACCTCTAATCCTGTGACCTCTGAAAGAAGATGATGTGAAAGAACTTACCTCTTTCTCCTGCAGGAAACAGTGCATAGCCTGAGCCACATCAGCAGCGTGTAGGGCGTTGTGGTAGGGGTTCGAGTCGTGATAGTTGTCCTCTACAAGAGCTGACCACGCAGAAATGGAGGGGGGGG